AACATTTTGTAACTTGTGTAACTGTAAGAAGACTGGAGATGAAACTTGATTATTACATGTTTTACTGTAATCAACAAAGCATCTCTATAGGGAGGATTTCATCAATGCTTTGTATATTCATGCCCCTAACCTTCAAGGCTCAGTACTAGGATTTGTATTGAGTATTTGATTATTTAGCACAGTTTGTTTTTAAAATTTTAGAATTGTTTTAGTTTGTGGATTGTATTTCACACAACCTCTATTGCGTACATTCCAAATATCCTAAATCATCTTATAAATTGATAATATATTCTTAAAAAATAACTTCTTTATCATGGAATCTGCAATTACCGATCTCGGTAGTTGAACGATTCACATCTTCAGACGGCAAATCAACAAAGGTTTTTTTCTCCTTTTCGTTTTTTGGACTATTCTCGAGCTTCTTTTTTGAGTATGGCTCTTCATAATGACTGTGCATTACAGGAGTTGGGAGAGCGTATCCATTATTAATTTCCGGTACACAACTGAATTGTTTGTTGTTTTGTACAGCAGCATTTCCTCCATCATCTCTGGCTGTATAGGGAGGTGGTGCATCTTCATGTTGATAAGCTACAAATACATAGTAAGCATTAAAACCTCATTTACATATCAAAATGAATCAATATGGTTTGTAATTGAAAATTGAGTAGTACAATAAATATTACATGATTACAAAGGTCAATGTGGTGACGGATAATTTTTCTAAGATAATATACAGACAATATTAACTAATAGATTTGTGTAGTTTGATGTCATTATATAATGCAGTAACCAAATAAAGTAACTGTAGCCACAGTCCCTCTAGGGACTTTGATAATATGTAGCAGCAACCAATCAAAGTGGCTGTAACAAATTATAATGAAATTGACATACCCATATTTGCGAGACCTTGGCTTGCTGTAGCTCGAGATAATGTTTCATAGATCTGTCCATCAACTATTTGTGCATACTCGCTATCTGAGTTTTGTACATATCGTACTGCAGGTACTGGCCTGATAATCAACATATTATAGTTTCAGAACAAATGACATCTCTCTGGTCATTAAATACACAGCTATAATGACCTCTCTCTGGTCTATTAAATACACAGCTATAATGATCCCTCTCTGGTCTATTAAACACACAGCTATAATGACCTCTCTCTGGTCCATTAAATACACAGCTATAAGGACCCCT